GGTGGATCACTGTGAATGCTTCACTCACATCAATGCTGGCTGGTCAGGGAAAGTGCATGACATCTTTAAGAACACAGGACGGTTCAGAACGCTACAAGCAGAGGCCTTCTTTCCCAAGTAGTGGATTACCAATAGCGATGTCGAAATGCCAATAGCGATCCTGGGGGATCCAGCCTACCCCGTAACTCCTCTGGTTCACAAAACTGTACACCAGCCACCTCAACAGCACTAAGGAAAGATTCAACTACAAGCTCGGAGAAGGAGAAGAAGGGAAGTGCTATGCTGCAGTCCTACACTGACTGCAATGGCAGTCGAGCCTGGGATTGTTGAACCTGGAGGTCCACAAGAGTCTGCAGCTTCTGCGCTTGCTGCCAGAGAAGCTCCATTATGTCCTGGTGCATCTCTCTCCCCTCCGCCCTTTTCCTGTGCCTCTCTCCCGTCTGCCCTTTCCTTCTCCATACAGTCTGCAATAGTCACCCTCTAGGGCCGCTGTTCAACAACTGATGCAGCCCTGGCTTGCAGATCACGTCCTCCCACATCCTCTTTTCTTCTCCTCCATACTGGGTTAGTCCTTCTACTGGTGTGGAGGCCAGAATGGCCACACCTACAGACAAAACTGAGGTACCACTGTCAACACAGAAGGAACAAAAAGCGAAACTTAAGATTCAGAACTCCCCACTCCCTTGCTTCCTGAAAGTGTCAAACAAGACATGCTTATTGGTGCTTCTGCTCTGGAATGCTTGTTCACAGTGCCACTCAGCCAGGGTGACCAGACAGCAGCTGTGAAAAAACGGGACAGGGGGAGTAATAGGTGCCTATATAAGAAAAAGTCCCATAAAGCAGGACTGTCCCTATACAAACGGGCCATCTGGTCACCCTACACTCAGCACCAACCATGGTGAGCATGGCCCACCAGGGGTGAGGCAAACAAGGAGGGAATTGCTCAGTTGCATGAAACTAAGTATGGGGCACTGGCACTTCATACTGGCATCATTTTCCACAGGTTGTGGTGGCTTTAGCTGACAGAGCACAGCTGCTGCTGGCACCCCAAAGCAACTCAGGCCCATATGCTGCTAGCCTGTTTATGGCAATGGTACCTGCCGAAGTTATTGCCGAATGACACGGTAAAATGTCTTATCATGGAGGAAGAAATAAAGCTACCATCCCTAGACCCCTCTGGGCGAGGATTTCAGGGTACCTCCATGGAACGGTCATCAAGATCTCTCAGGAGGATTCAATGGACATCCCTGTGTACGTAAACTGCTCTGCACAGCCTCCTCTGCCTGACTACCTCTCTTTGTTGTACCTTTGAATAAATTAATGAAAAGTCAGTAGCTGTGTCCTGCTAAGTTGGGGATGTTATCACTAATGGGAAATTTACTTACACACTTATCCAAGATTCTGTCCCATTTCAGGCTCGCCTCTGCTTAATTGCGGCGACTGACTGGACCGCACTAGGATCAAAAATAGGTCCCAGCTCTTGGCACAGCTGGATACCCCCGCCCCCAGTCACCTGTCCCACAGAGTCGTCGTCCTTGCTGTTCATGGCAGGGGTCTGTGACCCTGGTTCCTCAGAGGTACCAGGGTGGTGGTGGGATCTCCACCAAGTGGCAGATCTGCAGCTTGGCACCAGATCAACTGCTGGCCTACCAGGACTTCTGGTACGTCTGCCGCAGCTCGCAGGCTTTCACACAGCACTGCTGCTGATCTCTGTCGTACTCCTTCTCCTGCATGTTCTGAGCAATCCGCTCACACATGTTGATGTTTCTACAACTGGTCTGGCGCTGCCCCTGCACAGCCTGTTTTCCCCACAGGCCCAGGAGAACCAATTTCTGTCTATTCCAAGCCGGAGCAGGTCTGGGGCATGCAGCTGGCAGGATCAGCTAGGCAGTTACATAAAACAATGGAGAGCT